CACTTTGACCTTTAGCCCCTGACGCTCCAATTCACGAGTTGCACATTCCCAGGATCCTTTGCGCCCAGGGTAGGTCACGTGGGCGTCAGGGGAGGGAAAGGTCGCGGTAAACCACGTGACTCATCCTCGGCTACTGGTCGGAAGAAGTCGGAAGTGTTCGCGAGCGCTCGGAAATTTCAAAAATAGGCTGACACCACTGCCGGCGGCGGGAGGTACGTAGTTTTTCACGGCGTTCGTACGGCAAAGCGGCATCGAATTTTTGCTCCATGACTATCGGTATGGGATAGGATAGGGTTGATTCAACACACTACGTGAAAATGTGAATGCTCCCAGCCTACTATCGGCCAGATATCGCTTAGGGCACCTTCTTCCGACCAGAGCCGAGGATGAGTCACGTGGTTTACCGAGACCTTTCCCTACCCTGACGCCCACGTGACCTACCCTGGCCGCAAAGGATCCTGGGAATGTGCAACTCGTGAATATTTGGCGCGCTTTTTTCATGCTCCAGCTTGCCCTGCGTTGTTGCATTTTCCTGAGAAGAAGTGACCGATTTTTCGGCGTATCCACCACAAGGATGGGAATACAAGGGCTAGCAAAGCTGATAGGCGACCATGCACCAGGTGCTATGAAAGAAAATGAGATCAAGAACTACTTTGGTGGGTAGAACGTTTTTTGTATGAGGAATTTTGTGGGGAGGGAAGGGGATTTTCTTTTCCTCTAAATCTCTGTGAGAAGGGTGGTGGAACATGTTTTGAATCATTGCAGTACTTGGAATCGACTGTCTCAAACTATAGTACATGTAGTACATGCATGTTAGTTATATAAGACCAAACATGTATTGGGACACAAAGTTACAAAAAAGGGGGTTATATGAGAAAACCTCCTTGATTACCCTTTGTAATACTTAGTTAAGAAAATTCAACACATATCTATTGAAAAAACGAACTTTCATCACTATAACTTTTTCATTATCTGAATTCTGAATTTAAAAAAAAAGACGTTTTATGCGTATGCCACGTAAAAGTGAAACCTAGCATTGTTGTATATTAATAGTCAGGAGTCATGTAGGTTTTAAACACAGTGCAGTGTGGACCATGTACCAACCATTGGCTTGAGGTTTAAAGAGCTGTTTTTCCTGCAGGAAGAAAGGTTGCCATCGATGCCTCCATGAGTATCTACCAGTTTCTCATCGCTGTACGGCAGGACGGGAACATGCTGACCAACGATGCTGGCGAGGCCACCAGGTATGTAACAGCAGCTGTCCTTTGTACCAAGGAGGTTGAACCTTGTTTGTACATTGCAGCTTTGTGAGTCCTTCGTACATTCTCCAATCAGATCACTTGGGCGCAAAACTGTAACCAACCAGCAAGATTATTGTTGTCAATCAGATTTATGTCTATGTGTTTTTGTATACCGTTAATATCATGTTTACTTCCATTGACTGACCAATGTAATTATTCCCTGCTAAAGCCACTTAATGGGCATGTTCTACCGGACCATCCGTATGGTGGACAACGGGATCAAACCTGTCTATGTGTTCGATGGCAAGCCACCAAACATGAAGTCTGGAGAGGTAAGGAGTACACATCTCAGCTTACTACAGTTGTTTCTATTCTACCTCTTGAAATATGACATACTGTGTCCATTACACAGATAATGTGACATCATTGTTAACATGTAGGAAGACTTAAGGATGCATTCAATATGACAATAGCCACTGATATAGTCAATGACTGTCAACAATGGCTACTTAAATTGATCTTAGAATGCTCGCTAGCTCTTATGTGAGCAATTCCCATGACATCACAGCCAGCGAGTGTTAGGCAAAAAGCATAGATAGTTGACTAAGTTGAGTGATATGCCTACCAATAATTTGCAATGCCTACCAGTAATGGATGTAAATAAAAACAGCAGTTGCTTGTATTGTTTTCCTGCCCAGCTGGCGAAGCGTGCCGAGCGCCGTGAGGAGGCCCAGAAGGCTCTGGAGAAGGCAGAGGAAGCCGGGGAGGCCGAGGACGTCAACAAGTTCCAGAAACGCTTGGTAAAGATAAATTCTACGTCGGTCATTCTTGGTCTAGTTATTGCAGGAAACAGATACAGTGATATCCTTTCAATGCCTACTGCATTATTTGATTGTAATCCAGATTAGAATACATGTTAGGTAGGAGGAGCAGTAAGCCTTAGTCAAACTTAGTACAAACTCTGTACAAAGGAGGTCTTTTGCCACCCATAGTGTATTGAAGGCTGAAAAAAGAAAGAAACAGTTGAGATTGAAAGCTTTGACCATTAAAAAAACAAATTTAGAAATTAAGAACATGTACGATGTAGTCTTATCTGCAGCAACTATCATGAATAGCTTTCTCTTATGTCAGCTGCACAGGTACTTGTAATGATATTGTTGTTTGCAACTTACAGGTGAAAGTGACCAGGGAGCACAACGAGGAGTGTAAAAAGCTGCTGACTCTCATGGGTATCCCTTATGTTGATGTAGGTGTTTTTTCTTTCATGCTCTGTTTTAAGAACAATATACTAGTATATTACCAGTATACTGGACAGGTAAAGAGAAACAGATGAATAGATTTGAACTGTACTTTGTCTACTTCGTCTTCCCAATATGTAGTTTTTTTTACATACTATACAAAGTCTGTCCAGAAGCATGGGATTGTCGGTCTTCAGTGAGTCTTGGCTGGCATTACACATTCTTTGGAGCGTCAGTTCGCCCCCCC